TCAAGAGCCATAAAAGCGTTGCCTACCGCACAAGCGCTGCAGTTGAGTAATAGGAAATGCTGTTTAATCTCGGGACGGAGGGCCGTATGGCACAGCTAATTTCTCAGCACTGAAGCGCGTGTTGCGGTTTGACTTTGACTGCTGGAGGGGTGGTGAGCTTTCTGTTTGCTTTCTCTGCCCAAGCAGGTGTGGCTGGGAGCAGCAGGCAGGCTCCCGTCGTAGCGTTTCCTGTCCCTTTTTATCTCCGAGCCACAAACTTGCACTATTGAGCCTGCCGTCCCTTTTTTCCCCTCCGCAGCCGAGGCGCATCCGAGCGAAACCCTGTTGCACTGAAGTGCCTGGAACTGGGGCTGTGCGAGTGTGGGGATTTCGGCCATGGCCGGCGGCTGCCGTCCCCGTTCCTTTGCTCTCCACGTGCCACCGCCGCACCGCAGGTCAGCGATGAAAGCCTTTCTGGTGACCGACATAATTCTCCCCGTGAAACGGGATGGCTTCAGAATGGCTCCCTATGGTAAACTTTTTGCCTTGATTTGGCTGGGTCACCTCAAAGAGCTCCAGCTAATAGCTGGTAGTTTTGAAAGCTTTTTGGGTTTCTTTTCCCCGAATGTAGAGGTATGGCGATACAAAGGGAAGGTCGTTACAAGGGCTCTGATGTGTGCGTGGAGAAGTGCGGATCAAGTGAGTGCCTGGCTGAGAGCTGCACAGAAATCCAGTCAGAGGGCTGGAGAGAAGCTGCAGTCCTGGCTCCCGTACTCCATCTCCGGTCTCTCTGCCTTCCCGCGCTGTAACCCGTGCTCGAGCTGCCAGAGGTGCAAACCTGGCGTCTGCTTTTCCCCCTTAGAGGAGAGGCAGGGACTTCTGCGGTGTTTGAGACCTCCTCCTTCCATGTGTGAAATCAAATGGAAGTTATTGAGGGCAAAAAAGACAGAAAGCCTGTTGCCTTTTCCTTTCTTAAGGCGTTTCGTGCTTAAATTTGGTGCTGATGTTTGACAGCTCTTGCTTCTCCTCCATGCCTGGGCATGCTGCAGGGCTTGTGTTTCGCTCAGAAAGCCGTGTAGCTTGGTTTATTTTGCTCATAAAGATGTTAAACCCTTGCACGGCCACTTTGCCATTGGAGCCGCAAGACCCGCGCTGCCAGACACAAAGCGCTCAGCAGCGTGACCCCAAAGTGCAGGCTGGCATACGCCTCTACAGGGTATTTGGGAGAGGAGCCCTGCTGCCCTGCTTGCTCGTGAACTGCTCCAGCGTTGCTGTGCGCTGCCCAGAGCAGGAGCAACGTCCTGGAGCCCGGTGTTGTCCTCCTTCGCCGAAACACAGGAATCTTGTGCAACCGGAGGCGGCAACATTTGGTCCGGCAGCGTCTGCCAAGGTGAGGGTGTGATCTGCCAAGCCAAACAGGATTTCGTTGCTGATGGGTTTGCGAGGAGGGGAAGGGCATTTCTGCGGGAGGCGAGCAGCCGGTGCCGTTGGAGACGCTGCTGGCTGGAACTGGTCAGGATCCTGTGAAGCGACTCCCGGGGCAATTTCGGGAGCTGGCTCCCCAGCGCGGCTCTGGGTTTTGGTGTAGCTGAGAAGGGCTGGCATTGACTGGGAGAGCAGCCAGGGGCTGCGTGAACAGGCTGGGGAGCTGAGGCAAAGAGTTTTTAGCGGCGACAGTTGATGTGTGGGAGAGGAAAATGGATGTGTGCTTAATAAACATTGGCGCTCGGCAGGAGCTTATCAGCGAAGTCAGTGCTCCAGCTTCTGGAGAGCACGTTGAAAAGAATCCCTTCAGATCGGGGGATAAATGGAAAATTGGTATGAAAAATACATCTTTTGAACGGTGCCAACTGGATGCTGACTTGGCTGTAGGACGGTTCCCGCCTGCCTTCCCGAGCCCACGCAGGAGGCAGCAGCCGTACCTGCATCTCCTCACAGCCCAGGCCCCATGGTCCACGGGTGCAGGCGCTATCCCACGCAGAAGAGGGCTCAGAACGGAGCAAACCCTGCGGATTTGGTCTTTGTTTCCTGCTGGTTTGTGTTGCGTGCACTCCTGTCTTTTGGGAAGGAGAGGCACGCTCACACGCCGCGTTCCAGAGACTTCTGGGGTTGTACGAGTACACCAGATGCCCGTCAGAGGTCCAGTCCTTTACCTGGCCCTAGCTGGGACTGCCTGCCTGCCCATTGCCTGTGAAACCCCAGTGATGGAAGTGGCCTCTGCAGGATGCCCTGCTCTGGTCCACTGCTATCCCTGCTATTAGAACAATAAACCAGATCCTCCTTGCCACAGTTTAGCTGCTTTACTGCTTCTCCTGTCCTCCGTGGACAGCTCTGTTTCTTGGCAGTGACAATTCACATGAATTAAGACTTTTAATACTTTTCTCTAATCTTCCCTTGGCAGTTTCTTTCAGGATCTCTCTTGAAGCTGCCCAGTGACTTGCATCTGGTTTTCTTCAATGCTGCAACCGAAGCGACGCTGAATTCCCTAGCCCATGGCTACGGCAAAAGGATTAATTTGAGGCTTTGTGATAACGTTTATGTATCCCAGTACATTTGGTTGGCTGGTTGCAGCATCGCAGTGGACTCTTTGATTCGTGATGCACAGCCCTGCTGCAAGACAAACACAGCAGGCGAAATTGCTGTGCTGGCATCGTGTTCTTCACCTCCTGTCTTTCTCTTGCCGTTGTTTCCTCTTCCCAACCTGCCTGTGTGTCCCTGTACCTGCAGTGCCGTCCACCTGCACATCAAGGCAGTGCCGAAGCAGCCGCCGTTCTGCAGGATCAAAGTGGTTTTTCCTTTCAAATTTCTCCTGCTTTCCAGGTGGCAGCTTTTGATCTCCTACCTGTTGCTTTGTTCTTTCTCCGCTAGGTAAAAGCTAATTAAATGGTGCCTGTGTTGGCAGGGAAGTCCTGCACCTCTGCTTGTGTTACCTGGAGAGCTGCAGGACATCACACTCGTGTTTCAGCATCTCCATCTGCTGTCCTTGGTAGGAAAAGCTCACTCATGTTTTCTGAGGAAGCATCCCCTGCTCAACAACCACAGCCTCCTGACGCCACCTTCCTCCTCCTCTTATGCAGGTTTAGTGCTTTTGGAGCTCTGATGAGAGAGCTGACACAGGTAAAGGCCTGGGTGTCCAGGTTTCACCCTTGGTTTCCGCTGGGCAGACAGTGCTGCCTGTGAGATGCTGTGGTGCCAGAGCACCCTCTCCAGATGTGCTGCAGCTCAGGGCCTCCGATGCTGTGCGGGCTGCTCCACCGCTGCCTGGGTGTCCCTCAGCACCCTGTTGAGAAGGTGTGTTGTACCGTGGTGGTGGGAAGGAGGAATCGCAGCAGGCTTTGCTGCCCGTGCTCTTGCAGGGGGCGGTCGGAGGAAAGGCGGCTTCCTCTTTAAATGCAGTTGAGGCCAATGACTTTCTCCAAATTATAACCCAGAGCCTTAGCAGTACTGTGGTTTTTGGTGGTCTGGACAAGAACAAGCACGTGGCTCCACTGGTGTTTGGTTTTTTTGGACTTAGAGGTGAAAATACACGTTGTGCTTGGTGCTAGAAGGAGATGTGGGCGCGAAGGACTTGTTTCTTTCATCCCAAACGCTTGCTGGGCACAGCGCGTGGCAAGGTTGAGGCTCTTCCATCAAGTTCCAGCAAAGCCTGAAATGCAGGAACTGCCTGTGCTGTGATCCAAGCTGACGAATGCAGCGATTGCCCATTAAAGCGATGGTTCATCCCTTAACGAAGGCTCCGTCAACCACTTGGCAGTCTCACTTGCAATCTCCTGCACGTTCCCATCTGTCAGAAGCAGGACAGCCGCTTTGCTTCCCCGCAGCTTTCACTGTGCTCTTTGGGAAGCCCTGGTTTCTGTTTGCCCTCTCTGCCCTCTCGCCTCCTCGTGTGTCTGGAGATAGCGTTAACACCACGTTTGAAGAAATAGGAGCTGGGCAGTGTTTGACCACGCTTGCTTTAGGCCCCAGAATGATAGTGCAAGTCAGGGCCTGTCTGCTTTTCTTCCTGGCCGCCCCTGTTTAGTGCTCTGCAGGCCGTGGCGTGGGACTCGTCACAAGGAACGCGCTGAGCTGAGCCCTTTGGCGCTGCCCCGGCACTGGGCGATGTGTGGTGTGTGCTGGGTCGGGCTGGCCCGTTCACGTCGTGCTGTGTTCCTGTGTAAATACAGGGGAACAAAAGTCGAGGTTTCCTCTGTCTGCAGGGCTGCTTTGGGCAAGACCCTTCTGCTGTTTGAGCACATCGAGTCCTCGTCCTGCCCTGTCTGCTGAATGGTTCACGGCCTGGGAGGCCCTCCTGGGCTTACCATGGAGCTCCCCATCAACCCCTGGTGAGGAGCACATCTTATCCAGTACAGAGCTTCCTTGGTGGGATCTGGCTCCGTGGTTTGCTGAAGTTACCTACTGAGAGATGAGATGTTCGCCTTGAGCTGGCATAGCTCTTTGGCCACTTTATCTCTGAAAAAGCTCTATTTAACCATCACTGCTCGAAAAAAGAAAACGGCCCAACTCAAAAACCCTCAACCGCACAGCAGTAATATGCCAAAGATTGGTAGGCACGAGATGGATTTGCGGTGATGAACGTTTTTCTGGAGTCCCTGGTTGTTGAGCATGAAGCAGCCGCCCCTTGTTTGATGTCGTGGTCTCACCAGGGTCGACTCTGGCTCTTGGCCATCCCCAGGACAGCGATGCATTGGGCAGTTTTCAGTGATAAGCATTACCACAGTAGCTATTAAAATGTGGGGGGTTTTGCCTCCTTCATACTCCTTTGTGGCAGAGAAAAGCCTCGCGGGGTTCTGCACTTCAGCATCTTTAAAACGTAGAGGCGATGCTACAGACCCACAGCATTTGGTGGCTCTTCGTTGCCGCTGCTGTTGATGGGAGACCTCTTGCTTCTCAGACAGCGGCAGCCACGTGCTATGCTGTCGTCGTATTTGTTCTAACACCATTTTTCCCTCTTACTTGGCAGATCTTCTGAATTTGGCTCCCGATTGAAGCTGACAGATGATGGAAACACTTCCTTGGCGATGTCTCTGGGGCGACTCCTGCGACGTGCCTCTTCGAAAGCCTCAGACCTCCTGACCTTGACTCCCGGTAGCGGCAGTGGTTCATCGTCCGTGCTCGATGGCGAGATCATCTACTCCAAGAACAACGTCTGTGTGCACCCACCTGAGCTGCTGCAGGGCATCGGGGAGCACCATCCAGGTGACAGGGGGTGGCAGGCGCTGCTTGCTCTCTCTTTTTCTCTCCTGGCGTGTGTGTTTGTACCACATTCCACATCTCAAGGATGAGGAGGTGCCAGTGGGGGACAGGGTAATGCCGTCTTATGGAAGACTGAGGGAAGCCATCCACAAGCTGATCCATCAGCTCTTCTTTTACTAGGAAAATTGATGGTGTTGCTCCTTCCTCTTCTGGTCTGCTGTGGATTTACCTGTTTTAGTAAGTCCCTTTGTATTGCCAGAAGGTGGACGGTTGTCATCTGGGGACAGTAACTTCTGCTGTGCTTTTCAATACATGGTTTGTTCAGGAAAGCCAGGTGTCATCTTGGATCTGTCACTGCTAGAGTGGCCTCAGCAACCGTTGGTAAAGGGAGAAGAAAGAAAACCAGATTGTGGCTTTGTGCGCTGGAGTAAATGAAGATAAACACTGCTCTGTCCCTTTATTCTCATCTGCTACCGCGCTCTTTCATGTTTCCATCAAAGGGAGCCGTGGCTACTGGCTTGGCTCCACAAAACTAATTATTCTGTGAGCGCTGCCCCACGCTTCCCTTCTTGTCTGTGTGACTTGTCTTCTTTCTATTGGCTTTCCATGAAAATCACAGCCCTTTAGCTACACTAAGGTAAATACTGGGGTAAAACACTAAGGTAAATACCAAGGTAATACACTAAGGTAAATATTCTTGAGAAAGAAATGTTTAGCTGGCACTTGAAGTTGTTTGGCTAACAAACAGTAGAAGTTTTTCATGTGGCAGCATATTTCAGAATTTACTCACGATTAGTAATCCGCCCGGGAAGTCACAAGTATTTGCGTGTCACTTCTGTGTCCACTTAGGCCAGAGGGAGTTTAGGCCACGCAAAAGCCATATGCAGACTTGAAACTATTTGTAAATACTGACTAACATCGAGCACTCCGCAGTTCATTTGGCAGGATTCTCTGCTGATAAATAGGATTTGTTTTGCCCATGTGAGGTGGTGAAGTGGGGGAGTCAGGGAAAGGTGAATTTCAGGCTTCTGCAGTCTCCTAAGAATAAGGCTGTGTGGTAACCAGTTGCTCCTTCGCTCTCTCTCAGGCTATTTGTGCTTGTACATGGAGAAAGATGAGCTCCTCGGAACCACGCTTATCCTTGCCTGGGTGCCCAACTCCCGCATTCAGAGGCAGGACGAGGAAGCCCTGCGCTACACCCCCCCGGAGAGCTCCCCTGTCCGTAAAGCTCCCCGCAAGCGCGGCCGCCACGCTCAGGGTTTCGGCGTCATCTGCCAGGCGTCCCCCACCGAGCAGAGGGGAGCAGTGATCCTGAAAGGAGAAGACACCTTGGCGGTGTCGCAGCTCGGGAAAGATGTGGCCTACGTCAGCTCCCCCTCCTCGGAAGGGGAGAAGCTGTCCCAGTGCTGCCCCGCGGCCGACGGCGCCCGCCGGTCCCCCCCGCCTGCGCGCAGCGACTCAGGGATCCTGTCGACTGTCAGCTCGCAGGAGGAGCACAACAGGTCGGAGCTGTCGGCGGAGGAAGGCCTGGACTGCAGACCAGAGCCAGGGGAGGACGAGGGCTCCCTGGAGCTGTCTGCTGACGACGTGAGCAGGGACAGCACCTTTGACTCTGACTCCGATGCCTTCTCTTCCCCCTTCTGCCTCTCTCCCATTAGCGAAGCCCTCGGGAAAAGCAGTAGCTCCGTGTTTCTGGATAATGAGAGCAGGTGAGTGCCTCCTTTTCTGCAGTTTCTGGGCAGACAGCTGGGGTGCTGAGCTTGGAGATGCTGGAGGAAATTGAGAAGCATCACAGCGGCATCGAGCTGAATATCCTGTCTTGCTTCACTCTTACTGCACACACTTGTGTCATTACAGGAAATTGCTCCTGCCCCAAACGTTTGGGGCTGCAGATGTACAGTCTTCCAGGTGAAGAACTGTCTTGAGTTTGTTTTACTGGTGCTCAGAACGTGGTCCCGCTTCAGACACATCAGGACTAATTCTTACACGCCTAACCTGGGTATTTTAGCCAGCCCTGGTGTATCTGAATGCCAGCGCTGCAGTAAAGCCTGCATAGGGGCCAGATGAGTAGGAGTAACGAACAGGATAGCTACGGATGGGGTATGTGACTCACCACATTGATCCGCAGTGGCTCTGGCTCTCTGGTGTGAGCTCTGTGCAGGGCATCGCTCCTTCCCATCTCGGGGAGGACGGGTGTGCTGCACTCATGAAGCACCGTGGGGCTGATTTTAGGGACATGGCTCAGCTTGGAAACGACTCTTGAAATTAGGAAAAACGAGTTCTCTGTGCGTGTCAGCGATGTACATTAAGGCTTGACATTCAGAGAGGTTTTGCCTCTTTATTTTATGGGCTAATCTCGAGCCCAGCAAATGCCGGTAAGAAGAGGGTTTATGGAGGAAGTATCCTAATTGATTCAACTCTCTTTGGGTATTTTAAACCACTTCAGTGCGGTGATCTCAGACTTTGCATCAGCTTGGCGTTGGCTATGAGCCCTGGCACTGTGCTTCTTGTTAAATGTGAGCCCATGAGGCTTTCTGGGCTTGAGCTCTGGGGTTAGGGCAGTGCCCTGTCCTCATCCCCATCCCATCCCTCCTCTGGCCACCGTGGCCATCCCAAAGCAGCTGAGGGTGCCCAGGATGGGCCTTTGGTTCGCAAATTGTGTTGCACAACATCAGTTTGACCGTGTCCCTTTTATCTCTCTAAATACGATGCCTGATAGTCTTTGACAACAGTTCGTAGAAGACTTTGGAAACTACATAAACATCATGAAACCTACCTTGGAAAAATTACAGAGAGGCCTTTGAATGATTAAATAGAATTCCTAATAACTTCATTTTGTTGGGCCCTCGGCTTCTTGCCCCGTTCAGGTTGTGTTCAGCGCTGTGCTGCTGCTGGGGGGTTGACACTTCGCTTGCATCCACCCTCAGACAGTGTCGCGTTGGCTTAGAAATTTCCTGGCCTTGACTTAAAAAGCAGAAAACCCCCAAATCCGCTGCAGCCAGAGCCTCGGTTTGTGTGAGGTGTGTAAGTTGGTTTTATTTCCTTGGAGCAGCACTGCCGAGCCGTGTGTGTGACCTTGGAACAAAGTGAAGATGAGGGGCTTAGGGGTTTTCTGAGCATTTTCCTGGCATGCACCAGCAGAGGTGCAGAAGGTGCCAATGTAGGGGTCGGGGGCACAGCAGGCAGACGCGGACGTTTTTTTTTTAGCTCTTTCACAGCACTTAAGCACTGAGCTGCTAACAGTGACCGGGAAGGAAGGAAACTCAGTTTATTGCCTTGCCTGTGAATTCGGGCAGCATTTCCCCGTTGTTTCACAGCCCTCTGCCGGCTTTGCTGGCGTGTGCCACCGTGCTGACAGCCCCAGCGAGCAGAGCCTGGCTGTGCAAGCTCCCTGCTCCTGGCCCTTTTTCCCTTTCCTAAATCCTCTGGCACCAGGCTGGAGGCCTGGTACAGTGCGTGCAGCGCTCGTAATTCGCAGCAGATTACTAAAACAGACCTTGCATTGTCTGGGGCTTCAGAGTGGAAGGGCTTTTGTCCAGTGTGTCCGTTGGTTGTGCCAATTCCTTCCTCCCCGTGTGTGATATCTGCAGGATTGCACGAACTGCTTGAGTCGGAGATTTTGCATGGAATCCTTTGCAGCAGTCTGGTCAAAAAAGCAATATTTCCTGCGTTCACCCCAGCATTTTGGGGGGCAGGGGATGCTCTTTCAGAAGTCACAGAATCACACACAATCACAGAATGGCTCGGTTGGAAAAGCCCTCTGAGATCATCACGTCCAACCGTTCCTGTCTACCCCCTAAACCATATCCCTAAGTACCTCGTCTACCCGCTCTTTAAACACATCCAGGGATGGTGACTCCACCACCTCCCTGGGCAGCCTGTGCCAGCTTCTGACGACCCTCTCAGTAAAGAACTTCCTCCTTATCTCTGACCTGAACCTCCCTTGGCACAGCTTGGTGCCGTTTCCCCTTGTTCTATCCCCATCACCTGGGAGAAGAGCCCAGCACCCACCTCTCTACAACCTCCCTTGAGGCAGTTGTAGGTGGTGATGAGGTCTCCCCTCAGCCTTCTCTTCTCCAGGCTGAACAAGCCCAGTTCCCTCAGCCGCTCCTCATCAGGCTTGTTCTCCAGAGCCCTCCCCATCCTTGTGGCTCTTCTCTGAAGTCACCGCAAACATGAGCACAGCTTCCTTGTTTCTTCAGTTTTGGGTTGTTTTTGTTGTTCTTCTGCTGGCTGCTTCCCATTGGAGCAGAACTGGAGTGTGAACAAAGTTCGTGCTGCTGCAGATTATTTCAGCTCTTCTTCTTCCCTCCCTACCCCCCGGTCACCACCTCCTCCCTGCAAAGAGGAACGAATGTTTCTGGTTACTTCCCTCTGCGCTGGGGAGCTGTTGCAAAGGGAGCTCTGCTTTCCCCCCTGCTCATTTCAGAAGCTGAAGCAACGCGTTGCACGGGTGCTTTGGTCCATCCTTATCATCAGCAATGGGAAAATGTGGCATTGTGGAGGAATTAGGACAAACATATAGACTTGGATGAGATGAGACCAGGAGCTCAGCGAGCTGCTGGCCAAAATATCCGTATGACCCGGAGCCACGCGTCCCGTGTGCCTCTTGGGGCATCCTCTGAGGAGGTGGCCTGGTCCCCTGTGCAGAGGGGAGCCCACAAACACACAGCCCTGCGTGCAGAACGGGACAGGGAGGAAGGGAGGGAGGCTTGGAAGTGTCCGAGTTGCACAACTCCTTTTCAGTCAACGACTCGCCTGGTGGAACATCAGGAAATAAAAACGTACCCATTGTTTTTGGGGGGTTTTCTCCCTCTGCTGCTCAGTTTGACAGGCTGCCAGGGATCCCACGCAGCGAGCGATGCCTTGCTCCCATTTACACAGCTCCTCGGGCTAGGAGCGAGGGGAGTGCCCCAGCAGC